TACAGTGGTGCCTCGCAAGACGGTTGCCTCACGGGATGATTAATCCACAAGATGATTAGTTTTTTGATCGCTGTTTCACTTCGCAAGATGATTTTTTTAAAGAGACGCCCGCTGTTTCACTTCGCAAGACGATTTTTTTAAAGAGACGCTTTGTCGCAAGATGATGTTTTTGGGTCCGTGACTCGCAAGATGATTTTTTTAACGGATACTTTTTGCAAGATGAATGTTTTACAATGATATTTATAAAGTTTTTTGATTTGACTTTGTTCTGACTTGTTTTGCTCATAAGAATGCATTAATTACCGTATTTTTCGCACTATAAGATGCACTTTTTCCCCACAAAACAGGGAGGTGGAAAGTCTGTGAGTCTTATGGAGCGAAGAAAACAGATTATTATTTCCTGTTTTCTTCACCTAAAAATTTGGTGTGTCTTATAGAGAGGTGCGTCTTATGGAGCGAAAAATATGGTAGATCTCAATGCATTTCTATGGGAAAACGTGTTTTGCAAGACTTTTTTCCGCAAGACGACAATTCCCCCCCCCATTTGAAAACATTAATTAGATTTCAATGCATTCCTATGGGGAACCACGTTTCGCAAGACGATGTTTTCACAATATGACGTTTTTCGCGGAACAAATTAACATTGTCTTGCGAGGCACCACTGTATCTGGAAAATTTTCCTAACTGTTAGACCAGTACAACAATGGAACCAATTCTCTTGGGAGGTAGTGAATGTTCCAACACTGGAGCATTCAGTTATACTTTCACTTGGATTCCTCCCTTGAGCAGGGGAGGGGGTTGGATTCGACAGCATTATAGGCCCTTTCCAACTCCACTGTTCTATGATTCTATGTAAACAGGAGGCACTTTTATTCTTTTTAAATATTTTTCCATCTGACCACATTTTGAGGCCATAAAATATTCCTGATGGGAGATTGCCTCTCCCCAGGAACTCTGCTCTACAAAGGAAGTAACACCCACAAAAATACTCATTATACTGAATCCTTTCACCATCATTTGATTTTTGCAGCCACATTATAGACTTTATTTCTAAATACAAGAATGGCAGCCTCTACTTCAATTACAATGATAATCGCTTGTTGACATTTGGTCTAGCTTTTCAATTTGTTTCTGATTTCAGAAACATTATGATTCTTGTTAAATTTTCTGACAAGAAAACCACATGCTTCCCCTCTTAATATAGCTATAACAATGTTCCTTATTCATAAACCAAACCAAGAGCTTAGGGGAAAAGCTGAAGGAAAAGTTAAAACCTTGAACTTTCACCTTTTAACTGATGTTACCATAAGTGATTAAGATATTACATTACTCTATAAGCCACATTTGTTTAACTTAATGAGCAGTGCCAACTGAAACAGTTAGTGGAAAAGATCTACTAATTCTTACTGGTATTTAAACTAATTACTTGAAATGAGCCATTAAATTGCAAGAATCTTAAAATCAGGAAGGGAAGGAAATACATTATGTTTAGTTTCCAATAAAAGCAAAACCCATTTGACTGGATAAATTATGTGGTTATGGTGTTTTAGTATTTTTGACAATAGATAAATTACACTTTTACTCCATTTCAACATATCACTATTGTGCTAAAAACAAACAGCACAAGCTACAATCATACACAGTTTTATACGGAAATAACATTTGCTGTATTTAGTATTGCTTAAATATGCACTGAATCATTGGTACCTGCAAAGTTTTGTTTTCCAGTACTTTTCAACAGCACATATGCAAATCTACACACATTAAATCTGCACATTAGGCACTTGCTCTCACTGTTACCAATTCCAATCATAACACCTGTAAAGTCAAATATGACCAACAGTGCAGATCTATGTAGCATTCAAAAATAAGTCCTATGACGTTTAATGGGGTTTCTTCCAGAGTAGGCATGTACAATATGTATTACAATCTGTGGACATAGTTTGTTTCCACTTTTTCTCATACTGTGCATTTGGGATTTCATTCATTGCAATGTAACTTCATTATTGTGAAAATGCTTATTTATTTATTCGCTGACTTTCTCCCCATGGAGACCCAAAGCACCTCACAACTATACAACAATCATTTTAAAATACCATATAAATACCATATAAAACAATTAAACATATATCAAGATTAAAAACAGAGTTAAAGACAATTTAAAAACATTTTTAAAAATATTTTAAAATTTCTATGTTTAATAAACATAGCATTCCTGAGACAATTATTGTTTAAAAGCCTGCCTGAAAAGGAAGGTCTTTCCCAGATAACAGAAGGACAAGAGGGAAAGGGCCAATCTGGCTTCTCAGGGAGGCACACTCCAAAACCTGGGAGCAACCACTGAGAAGGCCCTCTCTTGTGTCCTCACTAAACGAGCTTGGGAAGGAGACGGAACCAAGAGAAGGGCTTCCCCAGAAGGTCTTAAAAGCTAAGAAGGCTCATACAGGGTGATAAGATCATTGAAATAGCCAGGACCCAAGCCATCGAGGGCTTTATAATAATAACCAGCCCTTTGAACTGGATCCAGAAATAGACTGGCACCAATGGAGCTGCTGCGGTAAGAGTTGCATGCTCACTGTAACCAGCACCAATCAAGTAGTCCAGCTGCATCATTTTGAACCAGTTGAAATTTGTTAACACTCTTCAGCACAGCCCCACATGGAGCTTGTTGCAGTATTCCAAATAGGATATAACTAGGGCATGTGTCACCATGGCCGATCAAACATTTGCATATTCATAGCATATTTTTCCTCTATTTATAAGCAAGAAAGAATATGCAATGTGTAAAAAAATAAACCCTACATTCTTCTTAATGCACCTGGGAGTAAATTTCCCATTTAACCTTTTTTTAGTTCAATATTAAAATGAGCAAATAATGTTTATTCCATCTAGGGAAGAGAAGTCAGAAGAAGTCGATTAATAATGATGATTGCAAAGGACATGGTTGGTAGTAAAAATGATGTGCTTCAGTGTTCAGGTCTCCAAACTTTTCTCTTGATAGGCCTTTAGAGCAAAAGGAACTAGAATGGTTTCTTGACTATTTAACCGTAAGGAAATGAAACAAGTTGTAACTATTCTACAGGGTGCAGTATACAACTGGTTCTCTGGGACGGCTGCTGTTCATTATTTATAAATAACCTTGGGTGTGCATACCATTGTATAGAGCCAAACAGTATATTTAAGGCTGCCTTGAATTATCTGGGTGTGTTGGGACAGAGGGTATGAGAAGCAATGAAGTTTACAGAAAGATGTTGGAAAAGGCTTTTGGTAAGAAACTCACTCTCCCTTTTTCTTTCACTCAACATCTCCAAGTAATAGGTTTCTCTGGGTTAACGATTACTATCCTTATGGTAAAAATACTATTTTTATTCCAGTTGGGTCTATCCTTCAAATAATATTTAACTTCTTCCTGATCCAAGGAAAGAACTAAAGATTCCTCTTTTTTTCTTATTCTTTCTTTCTTTTCGGTACACTGACTTCTTCGCACCTCTAGTTAAGAAAGGAAAGACCTTACTAATAGACCAAAGCAAGATGGAAAGGACAAACTGTAATACTTCCTGTTAATTCTTTGTTTTCTTAGCAGTTAAAATATATTTTCAGAAATTTCAGATTCAAATCCAAATAAATCTCTTGCATCTATAGTATGTATTTAGAACAACACAAAGCTTTCTACTAAAATGTTTTTGTATCCATTATGGGATGCTAGTAAAAAAGGATTCGGAGTCTTTTAGAATACTGGACATCTATAAAGATGCAACTGTCTTTCTGAAAACTATTCTAAATAAAATGCTACAAACAGAAAGAAAGTGACTTATTTATTTTATTTTATTTTATACATAAATACATACATAAATACATAAATAAATACATAAATACATAAATACATAAATACATAAATAAATAAATAAATAAAAAAGATGCAACTATCTTTCTGAAATAAAAAAAATAAATAAAATGCTACAAACAGAAAGAAAGCGATTTGGCTGGTGTAATATTCATTAAGGAACTCCACCATTTACTATTCTATTTTTTTTAATGAAAAGGTTTGTTGGCTTGTATAAACAGGAGGTGGACAGGGCTCTTCTGCTCAGAGATCCCTCCCTCAGCTTTTCATCACAAGCATGCACGTTTTTGCAGAGCACATTCCGTAGTGTAACTCATGGGGGGGAGGGGGAGGACAGCTTCTGTTATTATTTTGATTTACAGTTGCCCTTAGAATCCAAAACATTGTTCCCCACGTAAACATACCTGACAGCTTAAAAAATACATACAAATTGAAACTCCTTAGAACAAACTGATACAGTCACTCTAGTCTAGATGAAGGATACAGTACTTTATACTTTCCTGTTTGCATATTACGAAAAGAAAGAACAACAGACACAGGAAATGAGTTCAAAGAGACTGACCTTCCTGACTCTTTCCCCACTCAGCAAACATAGAATGGAGTTAGATGAACTGAGAGTGGTATGAATAAGTGAGATATCCAGTGTGGTGAATAAAGTAACAGACTAAGACTCAGGAGGCCTCGGTTTGAATCACCATTCAACCATATAAGCTCATCGGGGTGTTAAACTAGTTAAAAAAACAAACCCTACTTAAATATCTTAATTACTTTGAAAGTCCATAATATGCAGTGAGTAGCAACTTGACTCCATATTACGTAACATTAAGAATTAGTCTGAGTAACTAACTAACCACAGATTTCCATTTCAAACAAGGTGGGAAACAACAGCTACCTACAGTACTTTGTAACAAGGCTGGATCTCAAATCCACTTCAAACCATAGCTTTTCAGTTTGGACAAAATGAAGAACTATGAGTTAACTGCAAAAATAGGAGCAAAAGAACTTCATGTGCAAGCAAAAATGAAACAAAACACCTTGTACATATGTAAGCTTATTAAGACAATACATGATATCCAAAAGAATATTACTCTGTATCCCATAATTAAAATACTAGTTAAGATACCATAATTAACTTTATTTAAGATTATTTTCTCACCTTGTTTCCACGACCAAGGCAGTGTAGGTTTCCTGCATGTTCATGGCATTCCTTCCAGACCTTTTCTCTGCTTCTGCAACACTTATTTCTATTTTCTTCAATAAACAGTCTTCCATTATCTTTTCACAAAGAGACAAATGTTATAGGTTTAAACATATAAACTATTGTGCACAAGAAACCAAAAAGTCATTGAACTGTGTCAAGTGGCAAAGTCTGGTTCTTAGAAGACAAAAGCCAAGCTTTAGTTAATATTGTCAACTGTACCCAATTATGCAATCAAGTAGATATGGAATTTTTGTTACTTATGAACTACAGCACCCAGAAGTCTGCAGGCGTTCCCCCAGACAGACCTCTGGAACTTTTAGGCAAAAGCAAAACAAAGGCACACCAGTCCTTTCAGGTACATATAATCAATTTTAGCTTAGAAACATTGACTTCTTTTTTATATGGTAAAGAAGAGTAAATGCCTAGATAGAGCTAGGTTCTATGGAAACTGTAAAGCATTATGGCTCTGGTAGTCTCCTTACCTATTATGCTCCATATAGGGAGCCTCTCAAGAAACCACCAGACTCACAATGCCATGGAGTTCACACAGAACTTAGCCTTCCTAGCAGCTTCTTCCATCTTCATCATATTAAGGAAAGCAATTAATGACCTGCCGAAAATGATTACAGAGAACTGAAAGGGCTAGTGGTGTTTGGCTGAAGCCCTCTGAAGTCTGGCCAGGGAAATTTATTTCTGTAGACCTTTGGGGGTTGTGGTCTATGAAATTTCAAAAATCCTACACCCACTATTAAGTTCACCTTATTCTAGTCTTTTTAGTATGTACATCCTAGTCACTCTGTTCTACCCTATCAGAAATAAAGAACATCCTACCATAGTACTCTATTGGCCTCTTACAGTGGTACCTCCACTTACGAATGTCCCTACTTATGACCAATTCAACTTACAACCAGCTCCGGCTGCAAAATGTTGCTTCTACTTGCAACCAGAGCTTCCACTTACGAACAGAAAAAGGCAGGGGGAAAAGGTGGGAAATTCAAATTGCTAATTGTAGGTGGCAAAAGAGGCTGCTTCGTTGTAGCTCTTTCGCTCCAGCAGTTAGTGTGTTGTGGTTGGAGGCTTGGGAATGCCTCCTTCTGCTTCAGAGTGAACTTGTGTGTGCTTGCAGGGAGGTAAGGTGCTGTTTTCTGCTTTTTAAAAACTTCTGGGTGTTTTTGCAGCATGGTTTTCGGCTGAGGGGTTATGTTTCTGTGATGTGATGGGTCTTGGGGAGTTTTTTTTTGTTTCCCCCCATTTCTGATGGGTCTTGGGGGATATGGTTGCTTTTTGGGGGTTTTTCCCCATTTCTGATGGGTACCACATACTTCCCTTGCTTTTTCCTTTGTTCTCTGTGCATTTCCAATCTGCTCCATTTGTTTTCTGTGCATTTGCAATGGGTCTTGCACGCTTGATTGCTTTTCTCTCCCCCCCTTCAGCTCAAAGAGATTAATCGTGTTTCCAAAGAGTCTTGCAATGATTTTTTTGGTGATTTTTTTTGTTTGGCTGGAACAGATTAATGGGGTTTCAATGCATTACTATGGGAAATGGTGCTTCAACTTATGACCATTTTGACTTACGTTCATGTTCTGGAACGGATTATGGTCATAAGTGGAGGCACCACTGTAGCTGAATTGAGGCTTATGGCACAGCAACAGCTAGATCATGTTGCATAATATCCCACTCTTCCTTGGAACAGATACAGGAAGCTGAAAATGTAAAGCATTTTCTTTTCCATCTGCTTTACTAATCAGACTAATTTTGCCTCTGGTTAGGAACTTACACTGATTATTCCTTGTGTAAGAGCTACTTTAAATATTATGTAGTAGAAGCAGATTTACATCTAATATTTTACAACCACTGTAATATACTACTTCTGAAAAGAGGACCTTAGCAACAATATCAAATTAATCTAACATTAAGTGCTTGAAAGTTCTCTGCTAGCTTAGGCTGGGAGTAGACTGGGCAAAAAAGTAGCTATTAGACTTAAAAGATGAGCTTCTATTCTGTCACCAGTACCCAACACCAAGTACTGTACAATTTTGGCAGAATCCTAAATATATGTAGGCAGATAAATTTGAATTAAAGAGACTGTAACTTTCTAACAAGCAAGTCTATGTTCATGCAGAATGAAAGTGGGCAACTACGACTCTCCAGATATATGCTGCACTGCATTTCCATCTGCCATAACAAGTGCACCCAATGTAAGAAATGATGGAATTTGTAATCCAACAATATATGGAGGAGCATACTGTATTTTCCATACATGTATAAGATTCCCCACTCTCCTAACCCCAAATTAAGAAAACTTAGCTTTGAGTATTCAGCCTCTGGGCTCAGAACGCTCGGACATTACGAGTCCCTGTTGAATCTGAGCACTGCCTACAGTCTCCACCTCCAACAAGGTGTGTTGCAATTGGTTCGTCTAGCACCAGCTGACATCAGTTCCATAAGGCTCGTGATTGGAGGAAGCCAAGTCCCCTGACTGTAGTAAGCTAGGCCTTGTGATTGGTGGCAGCCTGTTTGCAGAGGCAAGGTATGTGCCATTTTGTTCTCTCCTCAGCTTACTTCCATGTGTAAGACGACCCTCAATTTTTAGTCTAAAGATTTTAGACAAAAGTATCATTCTTATACATGGAAAATACAGTACATTCTCTACCCCAGTGCAGCATGAAGAACCTGTTATCAAAGATTACAACCTTGGCTGCAAAGCAGAACAGGATTTATCTTTAGTGTATTTTCGAAACCAGATTTTAGCTATCCTGACATAATCATAAGCACAGTCTTAGATGTGCAGAGCTGAAAGGGACCCTATGGGGTCCAGGCCCTATTAAGGAGGCACAGTGAGGAATTGAAATCCCAAACTCTGGCTCTGCAGCCAGATACCTAAACCACTGAGCTATCCAGCAGCTCCATGTCTGCTTGGAGAATATATTCCTTAATGTTAGACCTAATCTGTCCTACATACCTTCCATCACTTATTGCACCTGTAACTTAGATGCCTTTCTCCTAATCATCTGACACTGAAAAATGCGAGAAAAGAAAGGGTTGTAGCACCTATGTCCCTCCAGATGTTCCTGAACTATTCACTCTCATCATGCCTGACCTCTCCCTAAGATAATTTTGATATCCAATGACATCTGGAAGGCCACAGATTCTCTACACATAAAAAATAAAATATAAGGAAGATTCAAAAAAAGGGATAGCTAGCAATAATAGATGATAGGGTCTTCCAAACAGGGCATGTTTCTTGAAATGTCCCTGATTAGTCCCAAAATTCCCAGGATATATTTTCCAACATCGGGACCATGTAAGGCTTGCCTTGGTGCATTCAATGACAAACAACATGGAAACCATGTCCCTCCTGCAAGGCAAGGTTTATTTCTTCTCCTGATTTTCCCAAGGAAAGCAGAGCTGAATGCTAATACTTCTTTTCAGTACAGTCAACCCTCGACTTACAAACGTCCCCAAAAACAAATTTTTCGATTT